CCCCCCATTTCTCACCTCAGGGAAAGTCATAAAACAGTTGGGTGCTAATGACTTTGTGAAAGGGAAAAAGTTCTACACTTAGAAACTTCGAAAGAAGGGATTTGGCCTGTACCGTCCGCGGGCCGCATAAACATTGATAGGGGGCCGTATGTGGCCCGCGGGCCGCAGGTTGTGCACCCCTGATTAAGCCTTAATATTTAGCTTTATAAAAAGCTAAATATTAATCAAATTCCTCCATTTTATAATGGAGGAAAAAAGGAATTTTATAAACAAGTATTCCTCCATTATAAAATGGAGGAATTTGATTAATATTTAGCTTTTTATAAAGCTAAATATTAATCAAGTATTCCCTGATTATAATACTATTGGTTACATTGTTGATTCCAATTTTATATATTGTGAATTATTCTTTGTTCACAGGTGTTTATCAGCTTTCATTTATGCAATTGCAATATGCTGTTTTTAGAAATATTATGTACAGTACAAACAATATTTTGTAAATTTTTATTTTTAAGTGTGATCAATTACTATCATCTAATTTATGACTACGAGGGATGTTCGGAAAGTTCGCGGCCTTGCCTATATGCGGCGCTGTGATCAATTTAATTTTTGGCGGGAATAATTCAGCCATCTTTGCTAAAGATACGATACCAATTTCCGCTTGATTTGTCAAAAAGTTTTGCCACGACAGCTTAGCAGATAGTCAGTGTGCACATGCTTTGTCAAAAATGGAGAAGACGGAGACTCGTGCGGTCATAAAATACCTGACGAAAAAAGGGTTGACCCCATCTCAAATCAAAGCTGACATGGATGAAGTTTTAGGAGAGTCTGCTCCTTCGTACACCACTGTGAAAAAATGGACAGCCCTTTTTAAATCTGGCAGAGAAAGTGTGGAAGATGACCCTCGCAGCGGACGGCCGTCAACTGCTGTCACTGAAGAAAACATCGACAAAGTTCACGATTTGGTATTAGCAGATCGCCGTTTGAAAACGCGTGAGATAGCTGAGACAACAGGCATCTCTGTCGACCGAGTGCACCACATCCTAACCGAAGATTTGGGTATGACGAAGGTCTCAGCAAGGTGGGTGCCGCATCTGCTGACCGCCGAGCAAAAACGTGTTCGCACTTTGATGTCAAAGGAGTGTTTGGACTTCTACCAGAAAAACCCACAGGATTTCTTGCGTCGGTTTGTGACTACTGACGAAACGTGGATCCATTACTACACTCCTGAAACAAAAGAACAGTCGAAGCAATGGAAACACCACAGTTCGCCACCACCAAAGAAGGCAAAGACAGTTCCATCAGCGGGTAAAGTGATGGCCTCGGTTTTTTGGGATGCTAAAGGCATCATCTTTATTGACTACCTAGAAAGAGGAAAGACCATTAATGCTGTCTATTACTGTGAACTTTTGGAAAAACTGAAGAAAGAAATCGAAGAAAAGAGGCCACACTTGAAGAAGAAAAAAGTTCTGTTCCACCACGATAATGCACCTGCACATTCCGCCAGAATCACTGAACAAAAGATAAACGAACTTCGCTTCCAATTAGTTCCACATCCACCGTACTCACCTGATTTGGCCCCCAGTGACTTCCACCTTTTTCCAAACCTAAAAAAATTCTTGTCTGGAAAGAGATTCCACTCAAATGACGAAGTCATCTCTGAAGTGAACAAGTATTTTGCACACCTTGACAAATCGACCTATTGTGATGGCATTAAAAAGCTAGAACATCGCTGGAATAAGTGCATTGCTAACAGAGGAGATTACATTGAAAAATAAAAAAGTTTTAACATTATTTTGTTTGTTTTTCTATGTGAGGCCGCAAACTTTCCGAACAGCCCTCATATTTACAGCCACTTTACAACTTAAATAAATACTACACACAACAAACTTAAGCTATTTCTTTGCCAATCTCTGTTTCAGTATTTTGTTTTTGTTTCAAGAATATTGCACACATAATAAAAGTTTATCCCTCTCAAATTAAATAAATTTTTCTGTTACTTAATCATTTTCACATTTATTACTCTTTAATTGTAAGAACCCCTATCCAAACTCATCTAACCAAGAAGCAGCATATCTTTTCTAATTTGGAATTTTATGACTATATATTCTGATTTTATCAAATATGTCTTTACAAATTAATATAAAAACAGAATTGAGAGAGAAAATATCTTAATGTTATTAACATTTATGAAATAAAAGAAAGATCAATTTGCATAAAGAATAATATCATTTTTAAATTGATTGACAAACATTTTAAATTTTGAAGGTCATAAAAAGGGCATTCAATTTCCTTTAAGTTAGAGTAATATTTTACAAATAGTGATCGATGTATTTTTTTTATACAATTTTTTTCATTCAATTGACATTATTTATGCTCCTAAAAGTGTTTCATGATATTTGAATGATTAAAATAATTTGTGTTTCAATTTCAAATTTTCAGAATTGGATGCCTACCTGTTCCACTTTTCCAAATATGAAATGTAAACTTTGTGGTCAGAAAATGATCTTGGTGGTTCAGTTATATTGCCCTTTGGGCAATTCCTTATATCATCGGACATTATATGTATTTTGTTGCATTAATCGATCATGCTGGAACAAACAAGAAAGGTAAGAAGGTAATTATAAATTATATTCAAAAGAGAAATAAAAACAGGAATTAAAGTTAAAAATTTTTCAGTTGGCAGGTATATAGAAATCAGTTTCCAGTTGTTGAAAAAGATTGTGATAAAGTAGAGACCACAGAAATTCAAAATCAATCGTGGCTTTCTGATGAATTGGATTGGGAAGTGGAAGAGGAATGCAAAGCATCGAATGATAGTGAAGTACTCTATGTAACTGAAGAAATTGCAAATTTGCAAACTGAAGATAAAATTAATTACAAAAATGTATCAATCTGTGATGATATGAACAAGTTAAATATAATTAGAGAAAGAAAAGATAGCATGCCAACTGAATTGATGCCTGCAGAATGTGACTTGAAGTTTAAATCATATTATGTAAATGTAATTGAAGAACCAGATGATGCTGAAATGAACAAAGATGTTCACGTTCAAAGATTGTTAAGCTCTTATCATATGCATGAAGGAAGTGAAATAGTATCAATATTAGATAGGTTAGTTATTATGATTAAGTAATTAATCTTAATAACTAACCTAACTAATTTCTTAAAATAACAAAAACCTTCTTTACTGAGTAATTATTTGTTTCTCTAGTACTTGAGGCAATCAAGCCCATTAGCAGATGAAGATAGGCATGATTACTCAAAAGTGCATTAGAGAAACTATTACACAATAATAATAAAGCATATTTTTGTTATTAAAATATTATTGGAGCTTACATTGAGTATGTCATGATATTGTTACATATTTTAATAGTGGATGTTCTGGTGTTGAGAAAGAAACATACGAGAAAGATTGGGTCAGACATGGAGATGAACTGTTTTATAAATTTGCTAAGAAAGTAGCAAAATGTCAAAATCAAATTATTAGGTAAGATAAATAAATATCATACAGACTAATATAGATCTTTAAAAAATTTTTATTATTTTCTAATTTAATAGATATTGTTGGAGCGACCAACCATTACTAATTAGCAAAATGGATCATGTGTCAGCTTCTTGTAAACACTGTAAAGGTCCTCTTGTATTTGAATTTCAGTTAATGCCAGCTCTAGTGGAAATGCTGAAAATTCAAGAGTTTAATGGTAAATGATATTCTTAATTTCCAGAACAATTTTTTCAATTTTTATATCTAACATTAAAATATTTACAGGTACAGCTGTGGAATTTGGTACAGTCATAGTTATGACTTGTCAGCAGAGTTGTTGGAATGATGACACTAGTTTCTGCACTGAACTTGTCTATGTACAGAGTGATCCAGATGAATCTTTATTTTTAAACAGAAATAGTTTGGATGTAATTAAATAATTTATACATATTTTCATTTTAAAGTTTATTTATAATATAGAAATATTGATTAAAAAAAATTGTGCTGTACAATAAAAGTTTGTATATTTTCCTTTAATATTTATTACAATTTATTTACAAAACAAAAACATTTACAGAAAATTACAAAACAAACTTGGAAGCATTTTAAAGGAATTCAAGATATTGTTCTATAAAACTGCTATATCTAAAATATGAATAAAATTTGTTTTGTGAGAAATATGACATATTTAAGTAGAACATTCTTTTTAGAAAGGGCAATTGCAATTTTCCTTTCTTCATAATTATCTAAGTTAAAATAAAAACTACTTTAACTTAAATAATTAAGTAATGTGTTTTGCTTTATTGTTACAGAACCCAAAATTTATCAATATGACTAGTAGTATATGAAACTTATAAATTTGAAACTTAAAATTTCAGTTCTGTATCAATAAATCTAGTATCTAATTTCAAATACTTTAGCAGAAAACAATAGTAAATACTTTTTTTATTAAATTGAGTTGTTTTCTATCAAAAAATTTAAATTTTTTTTTGTACTATTTGTAGGAGTTTTTCCTTCATTATATAATATATTTTCTAAAAAAAATCAAAACTTTTCAACAAATGGCAGATGAATTTGATCAATTTGAATCTTTAAATGACATTACATATGTCTAAATGCAAATGAAATTTTTAGTAAACCCAAATTAAGGTTATTTTGGCCAAGATGGAGGATAAAAACCAGGGCTGTGGCGTCGCATAAAAATCTACCGACTCCAACTCTGACTTTTCCTTACCATCCAACTCCGACCAGGGGCGGACTTGTTACCAAAATAGACCTGGAAATTCTGATGTCATCACGTGACCTCAGAATAAAAGATTCAATAAATACAGTTCTAATAAAGATAGAATGTAAAAACTTTTTATTCCAATGCTAAAAGACTCCTCTAAGTAATATATAAATATGTATTTGATAATTTTTACTTTTCCAGCTGTTATATATAATGACCCTTTCCAAATTTTTACATTTTTGGACTCAGGACACCTTGAAATTTCGAGATATGCAAAAGATTTGAGTTTTTTTTTCTATATGTGTGGATGTTAGACTGTGGGGGGGCTTAATTTTATTTACCTTGTTTGAAGCCTAATAATTTCTGTGGTCAGATGAGGACACAGGAGTTAGTTATTAAGCATCAAAGTGGTTGAACTAAATCATGTTCTCATATACATTCTAACATCTTAGGCGAGAACATCTTAACGGGTTTTACTGTACTATTATAAAATGACAAAAAACTTACTTTGAGGGTAGAGATGAGTTTTATTTTATTTTAAATTTTGAACTCTAATAACGAGTAAAATATTCATTAAGAGATATGACACATGACCCCTTTTATGTCTTCACCTTGTTGGCCTTTAATTAAGAACCAAAATTTAATAGTATTGATGCCCCTTTATACACAAGCCACAGTGCCACATTTCGTTTCTTAAACTTTACCCATTCTGAAATATTGTTTAATATCTCAGAACAGAAAATAAAGAAATTAAACAAATTAGATGTCAACACACACACACACAGGAATTTTTCCCCTTTTATTGACTTTTTTGAGGGGTTCGGGAGGTCTCCAAACATGTAGATTTGCAAAAAAGAAAAAAAACCCCAGAGGGTCAAATTTGACACGATTCCAACACTTTTCCATTTTATATACAAGACAAGTTGGGAAGTAAAAAGGAGTCAGAGTTGGCGGATTTTTTGACTCAAACACCAAAACTCCACAGCCCTGATAAAAACATTTGTATCACTAAAAAATTAAACTTTTTATAAGTTTCAAATCTATAACTTTCATAATTACTAGTAAATTATTGTTTTATCTATACTGCACCGTATACTATAAGTATACAAGTAAAATAATTTATAGTGATAAAATAAATTATTTTACATGCACATTATATAATATGTATCCTAAAAGTAATGCTATATAGAATAAATTATGGAAGAATAATAATAATAATACAAATATTTTCAACAATATAAGATGTGTTGTGAAAAAACTTGCAAATAAATTTACTTATATAAATCTAATATTGGCAATGGGGTCATAGGAACTTCTTTCAAAATATAAGGATTATGAGATTGATTGTAAATTTGGTATTTTGAGATCTTTATGAGCATTATCATCATTGTATAAATTCGTCAATATACTGAAAGCATTGCATCAATAATAAACTTTCCTAATAAGGAAATTAAGTCATATAAATAAAATCATCTGTATGTAATTACAGACAATTATCAAAATTACTTTTATTGAGTTTCTAAAATTAGCATTACTTTTGGGACACAGTATATAATATATTGTAAACTTTTCAGTGGAATGTTTGCAATAATCACAGTTAACTGATAACTGATTGATGAGTGAAATAAATTTTCTACAGTTAAATAAGTTATAAAATGTGTGTTCTCTGTAGATGCCAAAAAGAATTTCTAACCCTTTGATATATGAAATTAAGTTTTTTCTATTCAGTCAGTTATTGCAAAGAAAGCTTTTGCATAGTTCAACTTTTGATAAAAGATGATTTGGATTTTCTTTTAATGTTTTAAATACAGTTTTTGCTTTTCTTTTTGATGTGATTTCATACACTACTAGTGCATGGGATCATAAAAGATTAGAAAGAATTTATATATTCAGAATTCTTGAAATTGATTGTTTTCATATGTATATCAAAGGGTTAATTATCTAATGTGCTTTTTTAATACTGAAATTTATTTACATATATCCTATATAATTTACATAAAGTGATATGGGTGGCATTTAGAATGAAAAATATATTTGCACTAGCCCCCACCATCAATAATTTGTTTTCAAATTTATCTTGAAAACATATCACAGTCCACAACTTTAAATTCTTTTAATCGATCTAGTCTTTGGTTATGGAGATTAGTTACAAAATTCTAATTCCTCTTTACAACTTCTTACTTCAGTTTCACTTAGATCTATTGAAGAAGAAAATGCATTTTCGGAAGGCGCGATGTCCAACAGGGCAAAATTGTCGGGATTGTAATATTTTGGAGGGTTATTTTCTGCGGCAGCTAAAAAATTATTTTATAAGTTATTTCAAAATTAGTAACAAATAATAGATGGAAATGCTTATTCTGAGACTTACATGCACATACGACTTCTTCAAATTTATAATTTTCTGGTGAAACCTGAAGTCTTGTCCAGGGATGTTTTTCAACTTCTTCCAGAGTACAACGGAGTTTAGGATCCGGATGTAGTAACATAGATATCAAATCTAACAATTCTAATGAAATAGTTCATTTCATTTTAATTATTTATAACTTAAAATAAAATAATTTAGATTTAAATAATTTTCATTTCTTTTACCTGGTGACGTCTTTTTAGCTAATTCGGCTGGTGGATTAAGGACAGCAGCAATTGTTTCTTCAATATCAAAAAAGGGATTTTCTCCAAATATTAAAGTATACAGAGTAACTCCCAATGCCCACATTTCTAATTCAGGACCTTTATATCTATATTAATATATAAATATAAAAATTGAATTGTTATTAATAGATTAAAAATAAAATAGGATTACTAACCTATTCCCTTGTAGAACTTCAGGACTACAATATTCCATTGTTCCACAAAATGTTGAAAAACTGTGATTAGGTGCTAAAAATGTTGCTGATCCAAAGTCAATCAACTTTACGTGAAAGTGTTCATTAAGAATAATATTCTCATCTTTTATATCTCTATGCAAAATATTTAGACTATGAAGATATGTTAGAGCTGATACTACCTGAAAAATCATTTAATACAGTTTAAAGTTAGACAATTTAAATTATATTAAAACATGAAATTAAATAAAATTACTAATGAAGTAAATTTAATTAAAATTTTTAACTAATGAAATCATGAAGTGCAATTTTATCTATTTCAAACTTTGACATATATAGATCTGTAAAATTTGTGCAGTAAAATTAATATTAAAGTTCATTACGGTATGTTAAAAATAACAGAATGTTGATTACCTGCCGAAATATATAACTTGCAAGTGGTTCGTCCAAATTAGGATTTCTGTCAATAAATTCAAACAGATCCATTCCTGAACCATGCTTCTCCATTACCATTTGAAAATATTTTTCATTTTCAAATACATCTAACACCTGAAATTTTAATTCTAAAATTACACTAAATTTCTCAAGTTTGTTGAAAATGATAATTTCAAATATACCTCTATTATGTTTGGATGTTTGAGTGTTGTAAGAAGGCTAACTTCAAGAGGCACACGTTTCATCAAAACACTATCAAATACCCAACAATCTTCATATACTTTTGCTTTACAAATAAATTTGGTAATAACCTGAAAGCAATATTGGTTTCTTGATTTAAAGTTAAACAAATAATCATAAACATAATGATTAATTTTATTTTGCAATTACCAGTAAGTGATCCGAGTTACGATAAGCCATTTTTACACAACCGAATGCTCCCTTTCCTATTTGTTGTAATGTTACATATTTCTCAACATACTCACCAGAAACATATTCTGTATCAAGAGGTTCAGTTACCGATTGTGGCTGACTAAAATTTTGAGATTCCACCCATTCACGAGGACTCTACGATAATAATAAAAGATATTTTAAAATTACAAAAATTGTAAAAAATTGAAAATTCTTATAAGAAAGGGTTTAACACATTTATTTTTAAAATGAATATTTTAAAGATCCACAAAAACATTCAAAATTGATGAAATGGTTCCACAAATGATGAAGCACACACCTCAGAACAGGCCTTTACTTGTAGGCTACTACTAGAGTTGGAGTTTCATCATCCCTGCAGTCGACTTTCATCAGAACTGTCCATTAATTTACAAAAATGTGAAAAACCTATTACAAGATTTTCAATTTTTTACAAGTTTTGTAATTTTATTATGTAAATTAATGACAATTCTGATGGAAGTTGACTGCAGGGATGATGAAACTCCAACTCTAGTAGGAGCCTACAAGTAAAGGTCTGTTCTGAGGTGTGTGCTTCATCATTTGTGGAACTATTTCATCAATTATGTACGTTTTTGTAGTTCTTTAAAATATTTCATTTAAAATGATATATGCAAGTAAATATTAAATAATAAAATAGCTAATTCCTTAAATCAATTAGTTTCAGACATAATTTATTTCAATGATATCCATAATGTTGTCTATCCTATGCAAAAACAATATTCTCTGGTTATAGCAGAATTACAAAAATTATATTAATGTGGTTGACGTTTGTATTATGTAAGACATATTTTTTCACATGTTTTGCTACTAGGTATTTTTTTAACAGTCCAAAACACATTTTAAAACAAAATAGCTTAATATAATTTACTTTTGGAAGACTTGACTTAATAACAATAACTAAGCAATACTTAAAACTGGATTTGTTTAAGTCCAAAGCACGTAAGTATGTCAGTAATATCTGGTATTGTCATCAGTGGCATAGCTAGGGAGTGTGGTAGGTGCAGTCTGCACCAGGCCCCTGGAAAGCGATAGGCCCACAGGGGCCCCAAAATCACAGGAAAAAAAACACCCGAAAAATTTTTCACGGCAATCAGAACAAAACAAAACTTGGCATTTGGCTGCTCAAGCTGCTGGGGCTCCTATTACACAGGAAAATATCAACTCAACTCTAATCTAGTTATACACTATATAAACCACTACACAAAAATATTTTAGTTTGTTTACAGGGGCTCACAAATCTGGTTCTGCACAGGGCCTGGAGAACCTTAGCTATGCCACTGATTGTCATGTGCTTTGGACTTAACTTAATAAATGTTCATCATGGAGTATTATTTTAACTTTTGTAGTTAGAAAATTTTTTCAGGACCTTGTGCTCAACTTTGCACACTGAATTGATTGGAAATGTTTATTATTATTTTGGGGTTTCACAATATGATAACCATAGCATTCCATCTAACTTTACAAAGATTTAAAACATTTAAAATTCAGTTTTAATAAGAAAGACAAAAAAAAAAAAAAAAAAAAATCAAATCCTTTTCAATTCATTAGCTTAAAAATGATAAATTTTACTAAATCTTTGAATTTGGTTGTTCTAGTTATTTAAAAGAAGTAAATTTCATTTTAGAGTAGAATTTTTTGAAATAGATAAAATTTCATAAAGTTTGTTTTATTTGATTTAATAAACATTAAAAATAAACAAAAATCAAGTTTCCTTATATTTAAAAAATAGGTTTTAGAACAATATTTAAAATTCAAAAATTGTGGATAAAACATTTAACCAAATAGAAAACAATTTAATTTAATTCTGTTCTTAATTTGAAAAACTAATATAAAGATGGTGAATCTTAAAAACTATTTTAAATTATTGACTTCTGTATCTAAATAAATATAATAGAATGCACATAAAAAGTCTTAATTATATAAATCAATATATTTACTTGTCCAACAAATGCTGTTGGTGTATCAACACTAATGGTGGATGCACTATTGAAACTATTTGATGTCCATGTTGTATTATATGGATGACCATCATAACTCTCTTCCATATCTCTAGCCACCCATAAACAATATAGAATCTGCCCATCGTCAAGTTCAATTCTGCGGATCTGATAATTAATACCTAAAAAGTAAAAATATGTTTCAAGATTGCAAATTATCTAAATGTCCAATCAGAATAAATTACAATAAAATTAAAATAGGTAACTATAATATTGAAAAAATAGTTCTCTAAATAAATTCTTAGCACAATTTAGCAACTTTGAAAAGAAAATTTTAAAAATCAGAATAAATTTTAAGTAAAATTAATATTGATTTTAAACAATCATAATTTTCTCAATGAAAATATTTCTGATTTAAGCTATTTTATAAACAAATTAATCAAATGATATTTTTATATTTACAGTGTTGAACCAGCAAAAAATTTTGGCATGAGAATATACAATATCCCAAATATAGGCTCAAATATGTATTTTGCCAGTTAAATGGCCAAAGTGATGATGTCAATCTACTGGTCTGGGGCTCAGGATTAGGACAATACAGTACTGAGCATTAGTCCAATATGGACCCCATCATAGCAGCCTTGTCGTATGATCAGTTGTTTTCAAATTATAAGTTACAAAATGCATGTTACTGAGGGCCAAATGCCAGTTTTCATGGGCTGTTCCAAGGCAGCTGATATCCAAATCAGAGACAGTCATTTTAAAATTTCAAGTAATAAATTGTGTTTACCTTGAGCCAGCTGTCTGTAAGAACTATACTACATCAGCTTATAGCATGAATCAGAATAAATAACATTGATAGTCCCAATATACTATAATGCCAAATTCTATCATGCTAGATACGACTAATTACTAAATAAATTATGCAACCATAATCAGCATTGGTTGGAGTCTAGCCAGATAGAATAAGACTTTCTTTTCAAATTTAATGCAATAGACAGCACTTGTATTTTATTAATTTATTTTCACAAGTGAAATATGGTATAACATACATTAAAATTAGGAATGGTCATTGAGCAAACAGCCCACCAGATAATTCCTAATTTCCCATTGGGCCAGTCCACTACTGCATATTTATCCAATAATATTAATTTTATTTCTTTAAAGTCTTGCATTTGTTNCTGTGTATGTATATACATATATTACAAACTTATTTCATTAGTAAAAGTGCATAGTTGCAAAATAATTCATTTTTATTGTTTGGGCTACAAACAGTTCAAATCCGCTACTTTTGGAGCACAACCACGCTACTTTTTAACCATCAGATCTGGCAACGCTGCTTTGGACCTAGAAGAGGGAAGACCCGTCAGAGAGAGGTCCCCAGGTCGTTGTTGCTTCGACTGAAAGAGTCACGAAGAGTATGTAAGGAACAAGAGCGTTAATAAGGACATTGGTAGGCCAAAGATAAAAGACATTTTTTTCATCGGTCCTCACATACGATCCGTCCCCACAAAGGAAATTCAAAGACGACGTCATCCAACCACCGCCAACTCGGGTACCCGTTCCTTCTAGAGAATATATTTCTGTCTCCCTCATATTCTATTCCTTTTTTTTTCTCTTATATTTTTAGAATAAGTAGATTTAAGTTAGATAATAAGAAAATTTTTGTATCGCGAGAGTTCTTGTTCTGCTGGGTATCGAAACAGGTGTATTTTTTTGAATTGAGGGATCAGGAAGTCGGAATCCATATGAACCTTTCTTGTATTAGTTACCACAAGAAAAATAAAGCACGTTTTATTTGTTTTAATTCCTGTCTCTTTGTGAAAAACCATCTCTCACCACGTGCATATGACAACAATATCTATTTTATCTATCAACAAAAGCACATGAACTTATTGGCCAACACTATATTTTCTAAATTTTAATTTGTATTTAAATCAAACTATTACAACAATTTTTTTTCCACATATTTTACTCTTCAACACTTTAAATCATACAAATTCCCTATTTTTCTCTGTTTATTTCAATTTATGAAAATTCTCTAGATTCAAGATAATAAATCTGTAGGAAATAGTTAAAACAGAAAATAGTAAATAAANGCATAGAAGTATATTCAAATAATTTAATAAATAGATAATAATTGTTATTATTTTTCACTTTAATTATTTTCTACTTTAAACTTTACTGTTTGCAGTATTTGTGGAATTCTGAATGTTTAATTTATTCTCTGTAATTTAATCTATATTAATTTATTTAAAGTTTACAGTTCAAAGAAAGACTTTCATGCTGTGGGGAAGAAGTCTACATCATGGAAGTTAACAGTGGTAAACTTACTCTCCTCAGGTCACCCCCTTTTTTACACATGTATGGTAATCCCTATTGTTTCAAAAGTTGCAGGATTAGTTAGCCTGAGGATGCCCGTTCAACACAGGTGAAAATGTTCACATTTCCAAATTTTTTGCTGGTTATTTAGTTGACCTGCAATTTGAAAAAATTGTATACCTATAAATTTCCACTATTATACATCCATCTGTCTTTCCTTAATCTCAAGATCAGTTAAATAGATGAAAAACAAGACCAGATACGGAAATACAGGAGGCCCCAATTAACTATATACTAACTTCTGATGCAAACTGGAAGTCATGTTATTTCAATTCAAAAAATATTTCCTGAAAGGTGTTAGATACATGAACAGCATGACTCTGCTGTTACAGGAAAAGTATGATGTACAGGGACAAGTCATTACTAATTTGAAGTGGAGAGAATATATTTTAAATTAAATAAATTATTCTTTGTAGTTTTGTATCAAGTTTACCCAGATTTTTGAGTAGTAGTATTTTAATGTTATTTTTATTAATTAAATTTTAAATTCCTTTCTTTTTTTTAACTCTAATTGTGAGTTAATTTATTAATCTTAATTAATCTTCCATATAAACAGAATGCCAATTAGAAAGTATAAACACTTATTTAACAATAAATTTCTTAAATAATCATTTTTCCATTAAGAAGTTTTTTAATAGCATTCTTAAAGATACAAAATTATATAATAAGAATTTTTACAAATTTATTTTTTTAATGAAAAATTATTATTATACTAAGTAAAATTAATTACATAAAATTTTTAAAGCATTTTACCTAAATCTGATCCATCACGATGTCTACCCAAACCAAAATAACTGCCTTCTGGAATACTGTGAAGAGATTCCTGACTTGAGCGTGTCATTAAAATTTCTCGTAACCTCATAGATAGTGAACCATCTTGAGGTGATGTTACTGCAGCACAGCTATCAGGTAATGCATTTGAACAGGATGATGATACTCTCTCAGGCAAACTAATTTCAGAAATTGATGGTGGACTTTTCAGTTCTGGATTGACATTGAGATGAGAATCGTCTTTTGAAATATATAATAAAGGACATTTATTTCCTGTACGTCTTATTTGCATTTTTTTATCTTGATCTTTTGAAATATCAGTTTTTTCTCTACTAGGATGATCTGTTAAAATATCACTTGTTAAGTTATCATCCATTACAGGAGTCAGAGAGCTTCCTTCAGAAGGCTGATCATCGCTTTCTCTAAGTAAAGAAACAATAGGAGTTAATGGAGAATTACCAAATTGTTCTTTTGGCTGATCAATGACTGGTGTTAATAATGTATCTTCTTTGATTTGAGAAGATAAATGAAGTGTAAGTGATGAACAATCATGTATATTTCTTTTTATAAAATTGTTTTTTAAAGAATGTGGGGATTTTGATCTTTCACATTCTAGAAATTGTTCATCATCTTGATCTAAATCTTCTTCAGCATCATAATATTCTACATCATCTACCTCTTCACTTTCATAATCAGAATTTTTCTTAACTATATTATCATTATGATCAGGAAGAGAGATTTTCCCAGATGCACTTACTGGAGATATTTTTGTTAAGGTGCCTTCTGGGTATAATGGAAGAGGAGAACAAGACCTATGAGGTCGATAATTCACTTTAGAAGACACTGATAATAAATGAGAGTCAGGGACATTTTTGTGACTAAAGTGAATTTCTTGTTCTTGAAATTCAGTACTAGTAGGAGAAGTAATAACAGGACTTGTGAGAGAAAGTGTTTGTAAATTTTCGATTGAATTATCTATCATGAATTCTATCTGTTTTCCAAGTGGATTAACAGGTCTGCAAAATGTATAAAAATTTTGAATTAATTTTTCAATAAATTTATAAATTATTATTTACATATATTAAATTACCTTGGTGGATAAGTTACAAATGAATCAGCAGTTGTCCTTCCATCTGATGTACAATGTGCACATGAATCGTCGTCGTCGTCATCAAATGAAGGAAGCTGCATAGAGCACTCCAAAAATTCCAAATCGTCATAAAAACTTGGTATTAATGTTGTAATGCTCTTTTTAACAATAAATATAAAATTTTAATTACTTCATAATTAAAATTAAAAATTTATATTCTTACATACCTTTCCAACTAACTGGGATGATGTATAACCAAATAACATCAAAGAAAAATTTGTATTGCAACTATGAATGTTTCCATCAGGAAATATAGTGATCATTCCACTTATATTAGCAAAAACCCATATTATACCACAATAGACACAATGTTCATTAATTTTATCTAAAAAAGTTTGAAATTTAGTTAATTTAGTATACGGTAATAAAAAATTAATTTTCAAAATAATCACCATTATTTGAATCTTTAATGTCTGTAATTCCATTAAAATCAATTGGTTCGATAAAAATTGTGAGTGGAAATGTACTGCCATCTCTTGTTCGACCTGTTGCACTTTGCTTCTTAACTTCCTATTTTAAAAGAAATAAAGTATAATTTTCCAAAGTGATTTATAATAAAAAAATGCTTAAATATAATTAAAGATTAATACCTTAGGTAATTTTCTACCAGCAACAACACCTAATGGTAAAAGTAGTGATGGTATTAATTCTGTTATATTAAGACCAATGAGATCATTTGGTGAGGAATAACCATGAATAATGGCCAGATTTTTATCACAGTCAGCAATGATACCCTGAATATAAATAAAATTATTGATTTTTGATATCTAAATTAATAGTTCTAAACATTTGTACTGTATACTGTTATTAGTTCCATGCTATTTTATCTTTAAAATTTACTTATAATGTAAATAATAGGATATTCTGTCAATTAAAAAATTGTCTAGCAGATTAATGAAACTGTCTTTCAAGTATTAAATTTTTAAATACTTTGCGTTTTAAATGAACAAGGGTATAAATTTTCTAATTAAAATATTCAGAAGATTAAAATATAAGAGAATTAAAATTATAAAACCTGTTATTGTATTCATTATACATAAAATATTAAACTGTTTATTTACTTGTATATATTACACTGTTACATAATAATTTTTTTAAACATTTGAAAGATGTTCATAAAGTATTTATCATGTTTAAATTATATTAAAGTTTGTGAATAGTTCTGTTAAATGACTACCATAATATAAATTAAAAATTCAAGAGAAATCAGATATCTGTTCCTCTAACTTCATGATAGCTGTATAGCTGATATTTCTTTATTTGCTATTTTTTAATCTTATAGTAGTAAGCTAATTTCCTAATTAGAAAATAATATTAATTAAAATATTAATAAAGATGAGAAGAATACATTTAAACAAAAAGTATCCTATTTATATAATAAATCTTTTTTATGATGCATATACAGTAATTTTAAATTTAAAAATTATATACAATTATTATAGCAATTAAATAATTATTCAATAACCAACAGTGAAGCGTTTAACTATTGTTTACTTTGAAATAAACTTAGGCAGACCAAATTTACAATCCAACTAGGGACACATTTCAGAATCAGTGAAAACAGGGTCTAAAACTGATTGAACTTTGGTTATTTTTTACAATTTATTTATTTATTGACCTATAAATTGGTGATATTATATTGATGTGTTATAAAATTGCTCTATTCAAAGATTGATTCTACAATCTGGGACTTCTGATCACTAACTTAGTACATGTAAGTTTCTCAATTAGCAATTATAAAAACATTAAAACAAATCAACCTTTCCATTAAAAGTAACCCTGGAAGTAGTCCTCTCTACTGGCTCCATAACAACTAAGCAGCGAGGTTCAATGTCTACAGCTAACCTTCGCATCCAAACTGATACAGGAATAACCTGGTTATGGCCATCTTTCAGATCCATCTAAATTAAAATTAAAGAAGAAAATTTAAAACTACAATGTCATTAAAACATAGAGCTGTCTTATTAAATGCTACTGTTTTGAATTAAAATTACAAATAAAATGCATTAATTTCTTGCAGCTTTCATAAAAAAATTACTATTTGTTTAATGAAAATTGGTATAAATAAAAAAATGTACAAAAAGTATCATACAAAATTACTTTACTGGAGGTAAGTGAATACAAAAAGGAATACTCAAATGTTCTTGAACTCATAGGCTCAATTTCAGGAATAAAAACTGCAAAACTACAAAAATTTAAAAATAAAACTAAACATTCTATATATCTTGAGCTTTGTTTCAGAATTTTTGTAATTTTGCAATATTTACCTTTGATGAAGAGAAAAGGAATTTAAAACTTTTATATACTTTTTGTATTCAAATGCATTTGAATAAAGCAATTCTGTGTTGTTTTTCAAAAAATCTGGAGTTTTTTGAAGATCAAAAAATGTTATCATTTTAAATAAAGGTTTAAATATGTTTTTATTGGTAGTACAAATAATTGAAACTATTCCTTGATAGAATATACTGTATATGTATACACAAATGTATTGTATATTTGTATGATTATTACATTTTTTATTAATGATATATATATGTAAATTGTAATATAGTATAGGAATCTTAAAGCTTTAATCAGTATGGTAACAAAAATGTATCAATCCCTAAGTATGCAAATATACATACATACACAAACTATACAAAATTAAAAATAAAAGATTTATATATAAATTCTCTTAGTGCACTGTGTTTTTAGTATTATAAGTTGGCTGTTGTTATTCATTTAATACAGGTATAACTATTGATATAGTGAATACATAGTAACAATTAATTATTCATTATCAAATGATAATTGTTTTCTTAATTAATATCTGATTTCTATACATTCAGGTTTTGAGCAATAATTCATGCCAATTGAGTTAAATTTAGATGAAATAAAAATATTATTGGCAATCATTTCAGAAATACTTGGATCTGACAGTTTAATTTGATAAAGTAAATTAGAGACTAAAAAGATTAATTTTGTAGATTATAATTTTAAAATAATTTTGATGTGATATCGAATTATTTTTTCTATTACTATTAATTAAAATTTATCAAATCATTCAAAAATGATTAGTTAAGTTTGGTCAGATTATGTTTGCTAAGCTAGCAGTTTTGAGCTGATTTGAAGTTCAATATTTCAAATTCATAATGTAGAACCTTTTTCAATTCAGATATTTGGTAATATAAAATGTATAATTTAAATCAAAAACTGTTTAGTTAATCAAGAGAGATATTTTTTTTTTGCATTTATTGAAAGAAACATCTCAAATATCATGTGTACAATCATAAAAATCAAAATTTTTGATTATTTTTCTTCACAAATCCATCATGTAAAAAAAGAGAAAATAAAGCAGGAATGATAAACATTAAATGATGTATGTGAAGTGAATATCAGAAAAATTAATATGTACTCATTAAATTTCCCTTGAGATAGTATAACAGATAGTTTGACAATAATTATGGAATTACAGAAAAAATAAATGCTGCTTTATTCAATTCTTTATCAATAATTTGTTATTAAAAAGTTTGATAGTTTATGTTTGATGAAAACTAATGATTAAAAAAAATGATTTTGTGTAATCAAAGAATATTTTCCTTTAGTTTGTATTACCAATTATTAATTATCCTGTATTTTTTTACATATATAAATGGTGTACAACATTTATATTTTTATTCAATTCAAAATTTCTCTAAAAAGTAACAATTATTATTATACACAAAATTAACATTAAATATAAAATGAATTAAAATAATCAAAATGTTAAATAATAAAAATCCAATTTAAAACTGATAAAATTATGAAAATCATCACAAAAAACTGAAAAACATAAAAAGCTTAAAGTAAAATTGCAAATAATAATGTCACAGATTTTTTCAGGTTGATTTCTTACCACTTTTCCTGACATTACAATAAGTTCTCCAGATGATTCTAATTCAGTTTCTGTTAAAATATATTCTCCAGATTTGCTGACGAAAAAGTCGCATAAATGTTTGCCATTTAATTGTTCATTATTAAGTCCAAGTAATCTACAGGCCATTTTGTTTACAACCAGAATCTAAAATTTTCAACAAATGATTGTTTTTCAAATTTATATTTCAAAAATGCTCATGAGATCTAATATTTACCTCTGTGGTCTTTGCATTAATTGTAACAATTGCTTTATTTAGATTTTGGATATAAAATGATGTTTGTTGACCTTCTCCAAGAAAATTAAATAATGACCAGCTACTACTCAGTGACCTACTATGATGAAATGAATCTGATGTGAGAGCAAAACATCTCTTGGCACAACCAGGAGAAAAACTGAAGGAATTTAACGCATCCCCTGTCAACATTGAATAATATCTTTCTAGCATTGCAAAATTAATATAATTTTAAGTATAAAATAATTGACAGATCAGTTTTTAAAATTATAATTATAGATAGCTGTGATTTTTATAAACTAAAACTTTAAGTAAATTTAAATGGAAACAAAATAGATATGTAATAAACTATACTATGTGCCAAACTGGATTTTATTTTATTAAAATATTTCATCTTTAAAGAAAATAAAAAATGATGGATAATATAATCTATAAAAAGAAAATGTTTCATAAAATTTTTTACAAATTAATAGAATTCAAATTATTATATACAATCAACTCTGAAAAGTCTAAATAGCAGAGAAATGTCTAGCTTTTTAAAGTGATTTTAGAAAGTCTTTTGGTTTTAATAAGAATTCATAAGCTGTAAGTAAAACTAATAGTGTCTTATAAATCAAACTACATATTTGATAACATCACGAATTTAGTTTTTAATTTTAATTTAACAAATGCATTTCTTCTGGAAAGTTTCCAGTTTTCATTCATGTAATTTATAGTAACTATTTTTCATATCCAGTTTTAAATCCTGAAACATTGTTCACAGTCTACTCAGAATTCAATATGCAAAGTATATAACAGTGGTTATTAATATATTTTTAAAATTTATCTTTTCTGTTGCTAGTGTTGTTTTTATCTTTGTTTTTAACTATAAACCAATGATAAATATATTCATATATGTTCTGAGAGAGTCCTACAAAAGTAGGACTCCCTCAGAACAATCAGACAAATATAAAAATGTTAAGTATTTTTATAATTGCCTGATCAATAATAAAATTAACTGTTATATCTAATATCCAAAATGTGAATCTACAATCCTTTCAGAAATTCTCTTCTGAACTTAGAATTGGTGATCAAACAATTATATTGCAGCATACAATCTATATTTCACAAATAAGACTAAAACTTTCCATTTAAAATGCATTTTTGAAACCAAAGTTGAAAAAAAACTAACTTCATAACTTAATCAAATAGAAAATTAATTTTTAAAATGTTACTTGTGAATCCAGGTACTTGAGGGTAAAATTTGGGACAAAATGAGTTCTTCCCAAAAGATACTGGAACACTTTAATTCCAGATCATACAAGACCTGTATTTTTACTCTGCAAGTGACAAATATATTTAAAACATGGAAAAAGGAAAAAAAAATTACTGTAGGAACAGTTTTTAGAATAAAGTTTTGCTGGTGCTAGATGGAGTCTGAAAAAATTCAGGACAATCCCAGAAAATCAGGACATCTGACAAGCATAACTTTAATCAAACTTTTATACTATTCAAAATTTAATCACTGAGTTCTATGGAAGCTGAAACTATTAACACACTTTTCCAGCTGTTATACATTATACATGCTGGAACTAGCTTTAAATGTTATACAGCTGGAAAAGTGTAAAAGGTTGTTTTTAAGTCATTTTATTCAAAATGTTTGTACTTTAGAATAATTTACAAAGCTTTAATTTGTAGTAATGATAGTACTGACATTATTGAATATAAGTGATCAAACATTTAGTATCAACAAACTTTAGAGTTTTAAGGGTTGATTGTATAAATAATTACACTATAATCAGTGATGAACTATTGTAGCTTAATTTTAGTATTAGTTTTTTTTTGTTTGTTTGAAATTTGTAAATCAATCATTAAATATGTTTCAAGTAATTTAGTTTATTAACTATGACTTTATAAACATATTAATATTTTAATAACATATTTTGTTATTTATCTTTATTTAAAGTTTGTTAATTTAATTAATGGACAATATTGATGATTATTTTCAATGTACTGTACCATTTATCAACCTTCTTGATAAAAACATACTGTATTTTAAACAAAAAAAAAAAAATTAAATTTATTTCAATTTTTCATTACAATATAGGGATGGCAAATAAGTCTTTGTGGTTTTTTAACATAAAATACAATTTTTTCAGAGAAAGCAATAACTTTATTTAATAATATATAGACCATTTTGATCTACAATCTTTTGTCATCTTTTGGACAGCTCTATAATTCCTTGTTTAAAGAACATGTTATGTATTGGCAAACTACTACCACAGGTTAGGAGGATATTAAAAAAAATTTGCTAACAAAGGTCCCCCATTGTCCAGCCAGCATTTTATGCAGAGGAAATGCAATAAAGACAATTGTAAAGAGTCATGGATTTGTTCTTTTCATAGCAGCACAGACTTAACAAAACCTAATTTCTTTCATGGCACTATTCCATGTGCCTTCTTCAAAANTTCCTTTTTTTTTCTCTTATATTTTTAGAATAAGTAGATTTAAGTTAGATAATAAGAAAATTTTTGTATCGCGAGAGTTCTTGTTCTGCTGGGTATCGAAACAGGTGTATTTTTTTGAATTGAGGGATCAGGAAGTCGGAATCCATATGAACCTTTCTTGTATTAGTTACCACAAGAAAAATAAAGCACGTTTTATTTGTTTTAATTCCTGTCTCTTTGTGAAAAACCATCTCTCACCACGTGCATATGACAACAATATCTATTTTATCTATCAACAAAAGCACATGAACTTATTGGCCAACACTATATTTTCTAAATTTTAATTTGTATTTAAATCAAACTATTACAACAATTTTTTTTCCACATATTTTACTCTTCAACACTTTAAATCATACAAATTCCCTATTTTTCTCTGTTTATTTCAATTTATGAAAATTCTCTAGATTCAAGATAATAAATCTGTAGGAAATAGTTAAAACAGAAAATAGTAAATAAAAAAATTATAATAATAAATTTATTCATCATCATCCTCTCTTTTAATATAGTAAGTTACAATTTTAAAATAATTTCTTGCCTTCTTAAAAATTTGTATAAACTTTTTTGAATTATTTGAGCTAATTCTTAAAACTACTTAGCTCATCACTGACTATTAGCTCTAATTAAAACTAAAAGAGTTATTAAATTAAAATTTATTGTCATCATCATCATGAAAATATATTTTAGAATAAAAACTACATAAATATTTAACATTAATAAATTAGGCTAAAAGTTTTAATAAAGCTAATTCTTATTTTTTTTAAATAAATAAAACAAGTATTTGGTCAAATTATATTAATACAGATTTATTAATAAGGTTATTCAGTTTATTGAGAAATAAATAAAATAAATATTTTCATTTAAAATTATCCAATCTTCAAAATTTGAATTACTATAATAAAAAAAAAATTGTGAAAAAACATTTCCAGTCTACAATATATTAATTAAAAAGTTAAAAAATTTCAAATAATATACCTATTTAATATAAAGCAAAAAAGTACATAAAATTTAATTTATTAAAAAGTAAAATATTAAAAAAGTTCAGGTCAAGACAAGAAAAAACTTATTCTTAAGGATAACATTAAATTATTTAATTATTACATACAAACCAAGAGATATAATCTTTGTCTCTTGATTGCAATTTGAAAGTTCTTCAGGATGTGATATATCTATAATATTTAAAACTTAAGATCTCTTAAAAGACTGTTAAGCAATTCTTACCCCCCTTAATACTATTCCATTCAAAAATCTCATTATGGCACACTTTTAATGCTAAAAGAAATGGTAGAAATTATTATTTTATTTAGTATTCATGAATCCTTCAACTTCAAACAATACGATAATAATTTCAAAAGTGTTGCAGTCCCATGGCAACAGTCTTAATAATGATGAGTTCCAAAAACTGGTAGAGCAAGGTATATCTAGACAAAATCTACAACTGCTTTTGATGACATTATACAAAGAGAAGTTATTACAGACAATCAAAAATAATATCAAAACAAAACAATCACATAAATTATGGAACAATTTGTAGAAATATTCCAGATTAGGAGTGAAATTCTAAAATTAAGCAAGGTGTCACAGAAATAATATTCTGCTATCAAGAGTTCCTTCATGAATAAAAGAAATAATGATAACTGACACAATGGCTATATAGTTACCAAGATGTCAAAGATTGTAATCATGTAAAATTATAAAGGCATAAATTTATATATAACAACATATACAGTAAAACTTCTCTAACTCAAATGTCTGTAATTTGAATTTTTCTTTAACTCAATAAAAACAAAGCACTCAGCAGGTCTCGATGGAGTAGCATAGGGATTTAATGTCTCCAACTTGAATTTCTTAACTCAAATTTTTTCCAAGTCAAAGTTTTTAACAGTTCCCCAACACTGATTTATGTTAGTTTCAACTTCTCCAACTCAAATTTTAATATTTATTCTATCTAAAGTGATTCTATTTATTGGATTTTCATGAAATTTCCAGACAGTTAGTTGTATCTATGCTTCAACACCAATTTTCAGACAATGTTCCAGTCCAAAGTGAGAGGTCCTCTCGTTTTATCTCAACAAGATGTACCTGCAAAACTGTTCGATTCCATTAGTTACATTGAACATTTTTCTGAAAGGGGTTACACATTGCTGTTTAAACAAAAAAAAACTATCAAAGATTCTTTATATAATATAAGAAAGGTAAAAATACAAATCCATTCAGAATCAGCATGTATTACTCTATTGTTCTCTAATTCAAATCATCTATAACTCAAAGTTTTTCCTGCCTCTTGGAGCTTTGACTTAGAGAAGTTTTACTGTTTATCTAATAATATTATTGAATAAAAGCTCCAAGGTTAAAATACAAACATACTATTTATGTTTGTATTTTAACCTATCCTATTCACACAATGTTAGAATTGACCTATTTAGCACAGGTTTATTTAATGCTCTAAGTACTAGAGATATATTTTAAGTGTTAACATCAAAGTTTAACTACACTCTTAAGTCTTGTTAATTAAGTGATAAATATACAAATGTTGATATTTTAATAGTGAGAAAATTACATTTATTTAATACATTCATTTTATTCTAGATATGTTATTTACATTCAATATACTGTAGTCTCTGCCCATCTTTAGGACTGATTGTCATAATTTTGGAAGATATTGGATGCTATCAGAAGACTTAGTTCTATTGCACATATACTGTACCGTACATTAAATGAGATATACTAAGATATACAAAAGTCAGTAAAAATGCATAAAAGTTAAGTTTTTATAAGCATAAAATTATTTAAGTTCTCATGAAAGTGCAATTTATTATCTCCTAACTAATTATTTTAATCTGAATACAGTATTTAAATGTTTATATAATAAAATATACATATCATGAATATTCAGTTATAATGACAACACTAACTACTAAGTTATTTTCAGATATAAAATTATTTTATTAAATTAAAACATACCCAAAATAAATTTACAAATGTTTTCAGTTTACATAGTAAGATATACTTCAATAACTTATAATTTTTATATAATTAAATAGTGTGAACGTTTGCAGTCATACACACTATCTAAATAAATAAATATGATAATTTGCAATTATACATGTAAATCATCTTATTTATTTGAGAGTGTGATTACATATTATATTAGCATATATATATATATATATGCTAATATAATATGTAATCACACTCTCAAATAAATAAGATGATTTACATGTATAATCGCAAATTATCATATTTATTTAGATAGTGTGTATGACTGCAAACGTTCACACTATTTAATTATATAAAAATTATAAGTTATTGAAGTATATCTTACTATGTAAACTGAAAACATTTGTAAATTTATTTTGGATATGTTTTAATTTAATAAAATAATTTTATATCTGAAAATAACTTAGTAGTTAGTGTTGTCATTATAACTGAATATTCATGATATTTATATTTTATTATATAAACATTTAAATACTGTATTCAGATTAAAATAATTAGTTAGGAGATAATAAATTGCACTTTCATGAGAACTTAAATAATTTTATGCTTATAAAAACTTAACTTTTATGCATTTTTACTGACTTTTGTATATCTTAGTATATCTCATTTAATGTACGGTACAGTATATGTGCAATAGAACTAAGTCTTCTGATAGCATCCAATATCTTCCAAAATTATGACAATCAGTCCTAAAGATGGGCAGAGACTACAGTATATTGAATGTAAATAACATATCTAGAATAAAATGAATGTATTAAATAAATGTAATTTTCTCACTATTAAAATATCAACATTTGTATATTTATNTTTATTATAAATAATAGAACAATTAATTGAGAAATCGAAACTAAACTTATAATCTTATAAATTTTAAAATATTAAAGAACTGTTTATAAACAAAGTTTAAATTTTAATAAATTTAAACTTTGTTTATAAACAGTTCTTCATTATTTACTTAATTTTAATATTGTATTTATTTGCAAAAGTAATAATTTAATCATTGTTTAATAATTTAACCTATTATTTATTGTAAATTCAGTATCTCATTATGCTATAATAGAAAAGACAATTATAAATGTAAATAATGAAGATTATATTTTCTATCTCATAAATAATAAATGAAATTAGCTTACAGTTATAGCTATAAATTATGAACCAAACTAAAACTTTATAATTATTTTTACCTCTATGTCCTTAGTATACACAGAGAAATGTAAAACAGTGTTTACTTGGACCTTGTTTATTAATAGGACTTGTTATACTGGTGTATTTTCTGATTAGCAAAGAGAGGAGATCTTAGTCAAAATTCAAAAAATATCAGGTAAAAATAAAGATATTTTGTATTGACGTTTGACTAAGATTGCCTCTCTTTGCTAATCAGAAAATACATCAGTATAATAAGTCCTATTAATAAACAAGGTCCAAATAGACAGTATATACACAGAAATGTAAAAATGTATAATATTAATTAAAATAATATCATTGATTATATGTTAAGTTTAATACAGTAATCCATCCATTTACATGGTCTATATATGAATTCACATTATTTAAAATTAAAAAATTTTTCAATCAACTTTATGGAAATAAATGATAGTTACATCAAAAAGTATATATATTTTTTTGTTACCAGTAACCTCTTATATAGGCATATATATTAAAAAAGTTTAGTTAAAACTTTTCTAAACAGTAAGTAAAGAATAAAACATTTCTAACAGTAAGTATAGAAATATTGTATTTAGAATGTGGAACAGATATCCATTTTAAACAGTTTTTCATGGCCCATTTATGCAGTTTTCATTTATGTGCTGTTTTTGTGGAACCAATTACATAAATGGAAGGATTACAGTATTATAAAATTATTTTTAAAATACTCATCTATTCATAAATATTACATTCAATTTATAATTTTATATTAGTATTTAAATTTTAATACATTAAGACATTATTCTTTTTAATTAAGATCCTTCTTATTTTGGCAATTATTATTTACCAAGTAAATTTCCTTCTGAAAATGCCAATTTTAATACCATTAATTACATTTGAATAGTTTTATCATCAATCAAAAGTAATTATATAAATTGTAACAATAAAAACAACATATTCAAAAATACCTCGAAACTTATCTAGGGTGCATTTCCTCAGGTCGCCCATATCCGTGTTATCATTCCTATTGGAGTTCTGTGAATTTAACTTATCACATTCAATTTTACAAACTTTACATGAAGTTACAGAATATTTTGATATACAAATTTTTGTATGGGGAGAACCATGTGAAAGATGACTTTTTCCTTTATTCTGTAATAAGCAATTTCAATCATAAATAATCCTTAAATAAATATTTCAATATTTTATTTACTTTAATGAAATCAAAAGAATGAAATTTAATTTTTTTTAAATAAATGTTTAAATTTTGTCATCTCATATAAATCTATATTAAAAATAAGCAAAACTTTATATATCACAATAAATAAATAAAAAGTTTATAAAAACAAATAGAATAAATATATACGAGTACTTTTGAAAAGACTGATTTTAAAATCCTAGGTCAATAAGATAAATAAACAAAAGTTGATTTGCATTTTCAAATCAGATATGTATTTTTGTTATCTAATAAAAGATGCATCTAATAAATATAATCTAAAATAAATATATCAAATATTTTTATAAAAAGCTAAATTTATTAAATTCAATAAAAACACAAATGTCTTTTGAGCTTTTAGATAAATGCTCTGAAGATTGTCCAGAAAACAATAAAATGCCAAAAAATTTTCAAAACATGAATAGGTATATAATTCTAAACCATTCTCATTTATTGGAATATTTTTCTGTAAATTTCGTTTTTTGACTTTATAACAAACATATTTTGGTTTTTGTATAATTTAAATATATGTATTTATCTCAATTTATTAATCATCAAACTTATTAGATTGTGCTACATTTTGGTTGATTAATTTGGCTAAAAATTTATCAATAGAAACACTTTAAAAGTGTGTGTGTTACTTTTCGTTATTTTAATGTATTCAAAAAGATTTGATAAAAACAGTATAATACTGGAATTCAAATTTCAATTCTTGAAAACTAGGCGAATATATTATATCACCAGCTATGCTTCCTAAAGTATGATTAGAGCAATCTCTTCCAGACTAACAAATTACAACTTTATTTTTTATTTATTTGTAAAGTTATGTAAATCAAACTTCAAATGAAGTATTTATTAAAATTTTTAGAAATTTGTTTTGAACTTTTTGTATTTTATAGTTTCAAAATTAACTCCATATTATTTGTACTAACAAAATTATTCAGAAAGAAAATAAAAGCATTAAAATTTATACGTTTTCTATAATTTAAAAAGTTTCAAAAGATTAAATAAAGTCAAAAAAGTTTTAGCAAATATTAAAATTACACTTTAACAGAATTTCATAAAATATATCTTTAATTAATGTAAATCATTATAAGTAAATTTTATTATCATATTAATAAATACTTTACTATTATATTAATAAAATCCTTACAAGTTTGCTACCTATAATGCATAAGTGTATTGATAAGAAGTATATCATGTTTTATAAACAAATCAAATAATTAGAACAACAGAAATACATTAAACTATGAGAATAAAATATAAAAATTTATTTCATTGCCATGCTATAATTTAACACAGAATATTTTAAATAGCTTTATTACAAATTATTTAAAATATTAATAATTTGATATCAAAAGCTAATTTAAAATCTTCAAGTTGTACAATTCTTAATAATACTTTCAATTCATGTAATGGTTCATATGAATCATTTACATTTACATAATTATGTATATTGTATTACATATTTTTCATACTTTAATGTTTGTTATATATAGCTTATGAGTAAATATTTCATAAATACTTATTTGTAATAATTTATTTTATTATATTGTTACAAATGATTTATTTCATTATGTAAATCATTACAAATAATAATTCTGTTTAAATAAAGATAAATTTTGTTATAAAAAAAATTCTTTGAATAAACATTTGTGTACAAAGGACAGTGTTGTCAACCTATATCATGCAGAAAGAATAGCAACAATAAAAAATAAAATAAATTGCATTGCATGCAATATGCTCTATCATATTATTTATTTTTGTTGTTACTTAGAAGAAGAAGAAAATTATGAAAAGATAATTAATACATTTATAATATTCTAATAAATTCCATTAGTACTGAAATTTCAAAAACAGTACAAGAAAAAAAAATGCAGCTAAAACAATTAAATATCATGAGGTTTTAATGTTACTTCAAATAATAATTAAATAATGTATAAAAATTTTAAATTTTATACATTAATTATTATTTTAATATTCAAATTTTAAAATTTATTTCAACTAACATTAATTTACTCCATTTTTAATGTTTTTTTAACTCAAAGCTTGGACACAAATCAATTTTTTAAAAATTAAATACATACATTTTGGCTCATATTCCCTATAAAGTTTGCTATCCTACATTAGAATTTAAAAATGAAATTTCTTTTTACAACTATAAAAATTAAACTTTAATAGAATATTTTTTGAAATTTTTAATTATGAATTTAAAATCTATTTCTATTATATTAAATCAATTTTCCTCTTTTAATACTTGTATATATATTATGAATCATTTAAAAATTAATTTAACTGTTTCATATAATGATATATTTAAATTTGGAAAATTTCATTTAATGAAAGTTTTAAAATGATGCTGTTGAAAATCTATATAAATTCAGTCAAAAGTAAAGACTATTACATTAATATTGTAATAAAAATTCAACTTCATTTAGATAAGTATGGTTTTTAAGAAGTTTGAGAAAATTTGCACACTCTTTTAAGTATCTAAAATAAACCATTTATAACCAACTAAATTATTTTAACAAATATTAATCTAATCATCATAAATCACTTAGAATAAAAGTAAATTTTAATCTAATAGTAGTATCATTTTATTAAATTAATTATTTTCAAACAATAACCTTTTAAATTTTATGATTTAATGCTATTTAGAGAGAAATATTTCTTAAACTTTTAATAAAATTATCATTTGTAATTAAAGAAAAAAGTTTACTCATCTTTTTTAAAACTTAAGTTCTAATTATACAAAAATATTGTTCTATATTTTATTAAATACAGTATTCAAAAATTAAGTTATTTTTTTAAATTATTATGTCAGAACTCTAATTCAATCTTTTGCAGGATTAAAACTTAGAATTTAACATTACAAAGATTTACATTTCCTTTTTTTCTTGAAAAAGATAAGCTCAGCTACATATTTTATCAATTTCTGTAATATTCTACAAATTCCATTCTTAAGATTTGTGTTTCCTTATGATAAATAAGGAAACACAAATGTTTAATTTAATCAAAAAAAGATTTTTGATTTCTTTGTATTTTTTGAAATAGCTTCAATGTTATTCACATGGTTTTCAAATTAATCATAAATAACTTTTCAAGTAATTTGATTAATTTTATTTGAAATATATCACCAGCCTATTAAAGTTAATTTAATGAATTTAGATTTTTCTCATGTTCTACAAAATCTGACTGGAAAAACTATACAAGTACTGCAGTGAAGAAACTTTTACAGGATGTCTAAGATATCTTTTTATGATACATATAATAATATCTTTAAATTATATATAATATTTAAAACTTAAGATCTCTAAAAAGACTGTTAAGCAATTCTTACCCCCCTTAATACTATTCCATTCAAAACTCTCATTATGGCACACTTTTAATGCTAAAAGAAATGGTAGAAATTATTATTTTATTTAGTATTCATGAATCCTTCAACTTCAAACAATACGATAATAATTTCAAAAGTGTTGCAGTCCCATGGCAACAGTCTTAATAATGATGAGTTCCAAAAACTGGTAGAGCAAGGTATATCTAGACAAAATCTACAACTGCTTTTGATGACATTATACAAAGAGAAGTTATTACAGACAATCAAAAATAATATCAAAACAAAACAATCACATAAATTATGGAACAATTTGTAGAAATATTCCAGATTAGGAGTGAAATTCTAAAATTAAGCAAGGTGTCACAGAAATAATATTCTGCTATCAAGAGTTCCTTCATGAATAAAAGAAATAATGATAACTGACACAATGGCTATATAGTTACCAAGATGTCAAAGATTGTAATCATGTAAAATTATAAAGGCATAAATTTATATATAACAACATATACAGTAAAACTTCTCTAACTCAAATGTCTGTAATTTGAATTTTTCTTTAACTCAATAAAAACAAAGCACTCAGCAGGTCTCGATGGAGTAGCATAGGGATTTAATGTCTCCAACTTGAATTTCTTAACTCAAATTTTTTCCAAGTCAAAGTTTTTAACAGTTCCCCAACACTGATTTATGTTAGTTTCAACTTCTCCAACTCAAATTTTAATATTTATTCTATCTAAAGTGATTCTATTTATTGGATTTTCATGAAATTTCCAGACAGTTAGTTGTATCTATGCTTCAACACCAATTTTCAGACAATGTTCCAGTCCAAAGTGAGAGGTCCTCTCGTTTTATCTCAACAAGATGTACCTGCAAAACTGTTCGATTCCATTAGTTACATTGAACATTTTTCTGAAAGGGGTTACACATTGCTGTTTAAACAAAAAAAAACTATCAAAGATTCTTTATATAATATAAGAAAGGTAAAAATACAAATCCATTCAGAATCAGCATGTATTACTCTATTGTTCTCTAATTCAAATCATCTATAACTCAAAGTTTTTCCTGCCTCTTGGAGCTTTGACTTAGAGAAGTTTTACTGTTTATCTAATAATATTATTGAATAAAAGCTCCAAGGTTAAAATACAAANAAGAATATATTAATTTTTCCATCAAAAATGAATATTATTATGATAAATATAAATTTAAATATTAAAAGAACGATGATCCAAATTCGACTTAATTATAAATCTTTATTGATAGATAATTATTATATTGATTTTTCCAAAAAATGTTATTGGTGTAAATCCGAAATCTTTAATATTTACCATATTTTTACTGAATGTCCAAAGATCCTAGAAGCGCAATATAAATATAGAATAAAAGAGATTTTTAATTCAAAACATGAAGAAAATTTTAGATCTAGCTTAAATAGTATTTCTTTAAGTCAAATGTATAATATTCATAATTTTTTTGTATATATTATAAAAATGTTAAAACAAGATGTTGTGAAGTGAACAAATTATATGTAATATACAATTAGTTTATTGTTGTATTAACAAATATTTAATAATATACGAATATGTATTAACCTTTCTGTATGTTTATAATATT